GGAACTTTCGTGGTGGTCATTCTTTTTCTGAGAACTTCGTGATGGTTGATAAAATAGCTTAAGACGTTACAACGGCATCAAGTAACACAGTTATGCTGTCTATTGTTATAAAAGTTGCCGTTCTGGTAGTGTACTGTGTCAACGGAAGGAATCGTCTAGTCTACCAGTAACTGTCTCGAAAAATGAGAACGATGCACATGCTCTCCAGCAGATACTGCATTCGGCCCGGCAAAGTCTACGACAAACGGCCTTGAAACTGAAAGTCAACACTACGTCCGTTCGCCGATTATTTAAGACATCGGTTCCGTATCGGATGCAAATTGGACAACGCTTGACAGAGCCAGATATGCGAGCCAAGATGGTGTATTATGGAATATTTTTGGCTATGGTGCACAGGATCCGGATTTCTTGAAGAATGTGTGGTTCTCCGACGGAAGTCACAGTCACTAGAATTGGCTATACCAATCGCCAGACAACTCGCTTCCTTAGTTTTGAGCTGTTAGATGTGATCGTCCAGAAACCGCTACATAGTACGTGTGTCATAAAATAGTGTGTCATCTCAGAACACGGTTTACTAGGCCCCTATTTTGTCGAAGATTAGGAAGGCAATGCTCTTAACGTCACCCAAAAACGGTATAGGTGTTTAGTGATGGAGCCATTTCTTCAGGATTTGAGAAAGTTCTGTCGTGCAAAGAGCATTCATAAGAATAGACAGTGGTATCAACAGAACCCGGCCCGGCGACCAGCCATACCGCTCAAGAATCCCTAGATATGCTGCAGAAAAATTCCAGGACGAATCATGGTAAAAGCGGAGAATAGGCTGCATCAACAAAGTCCAGTAGGAGGAGCTGTGTGACGTCCCTAAATGGGTGGGACTAAGCTTATGACGTCACAATGTAGTCTCGCATTTACACTACGTGTACTTTCTACTTTTTCTTAAAAATAACAATAATAAATTGTTTATTATTGTAAATTAATATCAAATTCTTTACTTTTAATTTACATTTATAATATTTAAGCTTAGGCGTTACTGATAATAAGTATAATAAATTGTTTATATTTAAAATTACCATGATACAGTGAGCGAATTCTACCAATTATTAAAACGATAAACAACGTCGCAGTCTCTAATACTTGTAGAGCTTCAATATTTTCAAAGATTTTTATTAAATTATTATTTTTTATTATTATTATTTTTATATTAATTTTTTATTTATATACAAATAAAATTATTTTTTTAATTTTTTTTAAATTCATATTGTGGAACATTTCAATTTTATCATTTTTACAAATTACCTTCTTGCTACGTAACGACATAATTCCTTACATACCAATAATTAGACAATTTTCATTATTTCTAAAAATTTTAAACTTTACATTAATAAAAAAGAAGAATATTTTTATTGCATATGAACATCATTACACAGCTTTCATATCAGTTTCTAAAATTCCTAAATCACGCCATATTCTGTGTAGGCATGCTAGAATTCTACGCATTAATAAATAAAAAAATCTAATTTCTCAGAATGAAAGAAAATAATATAATAAAATAAATACTACAAACTTGGAACACTAAGCAATGCTTCACATACGCACACACACACATATTATCAATGAACTCATATTATCAAGTGCAATTACGATACCAAACACTACGTATTAAAATATGAGGTAAACGTTACTTCAAGAGTTAAAGTTAACAGTTTTGCTACTGTTGAGTAGATCGTCGGGCTATCGATATATGTCGTAAGTCGGAAAGCGTTATAAACATATCAAAGCCAAAAAATTAAAAATACAATTTAAATGAAAAATGATGTCTTAAATATAATTCACAATTAAAACAACAATACAAATTTAAAATACACAAACGATATGTTAAACATTGCACATAAATAAAGTTACATTACTGCTCGGCATCACACACAACCTCGTTTTCCTCTTCTACACAACGATCAGTATTCGCTCGAAAAACATCAAAGAATTCCACAAACTCGGTGTCCATGTGCTCATCCATCTATTTTCACTTAAAGAAAAATCAGAGAATTGCTCAAACTCGGCATTGCGCACCACATTGACTTTGACCATGTGCACATCGATCTATTTTCACTTAAAAAAATCCCAGAGTTGCACAAACTCGGCATTGCGCACCACATTGGCTTGCCCATGTGCACATCGATCTATTTTCACTTCAAAAAACATCCCAGAATTGCACAAATTCGGCATCGCGCACAACCTCGGCATTGCGCACCACATTGGCTTTGCCCATGTGCACATCGATCTATTTTCACTTAAAAAATATCCCAGAATTGCACAAACTCGGCATCGCGCACAGCATTGGCTTTGCCCATGTGCACATCGATCAATTTTCACTTAAAAAAACATCCCAGAATTGCACAAACTCAGCATCGCGAACAACCTCGGCATTGCGCATCACATTGGCTTTGCCCATGTGCACATCGATCTATTTTCACTTAAAGAAAAATCAGAGTATTGCTCAAACTCGGCATTGCACACCACATTGACATTGACCATGTGCACATCGACCTATTTTCACTTAAAAAACATCCCAGAGTTGCACAAACTTTGCATCGCGTACAACCTCGGCATTGCGCACCACATTGGCTTTGCCCATGTCCACATCGATCTATTTTCACTTAAAGAAAAATCAGAGAATTGCTCAAACTCGGCATTGCGCACCACATTGACATTGACCATGTGCACATCGATCTATTTTCACATAAAAAACATCCCAGAGTTACACAAACTCGGCATCGCGCACAACCTCGGCATTGCGCATCACATTGGCTTTGCCTATGTGCACATCAATCTATTTTCACTTAAAAGAATCCCAGAATTGCACAAACTCGGCATCGCGCACAACCTCGGCATTGCGCACTACATTGGCTTTGCCCATGTACACATCGATCTTTTTCACCTAAAAAATCCCAGAATTGCACAAACTCGGCATTGGGCACCACACTGGCTTTGCCCATGTGCACATTGATCTATCTTCACTTAAAAAAATCCTAGAATTGCACAAACTCGGCATCGCGAACAGCGTTGGCTTTGCCCATTTGCACATCGATCAATTTTCACTTAAAAAAACATCTCAGAGTTGCACAAACTCGGCTTTGCGCACCACTCAAAATCGTCTATACGTCTCAAAACCGTCTCTCTACTAGTTTCATATTTGTTCCACAAATTGGGCACTTATACGATATTGCAATCAAACTTTTCTCCATACACCACTCAATAACGCTCTTTTTGCCTCTTCGCTCCAACTGATAAAAAAAATCCAGATTCAGATACTCATCCATTCTGCAGTAAGCACCGATTTTGACATACTCATCAATAATCAAAACATTCTTTTCTATTTTTTTTTTACGGTTATAATTTTTAAATCATTTTCAATTTTTCAATCGTTGGTAATGATCGTTTTCAATCGTTTGGTATCTTAATAATACATTTGTCAGAGATAATTCATTGCGTTAAATGCTAACACTAACACAACCCACACACAAAAGTAGATTTATAATTAAAAAATCTCGCGCAGAACATTATAACCTACCATTTCAACTCAGTTAAAATTTCATTTAAGTTTTCTTTAAATACGAAGCTATAGCATACTTATAACTTGTTTTTAAGGAGAGGCGTAACCAATATTACGTCATGAAAAGGCGTGTCCAAGCATAAGAGGAGTAAACACAGCATCGACTGATGCAGCCTATTCTGCGATTTAGCCCGAATCATTTCACTTGGTACTGATTTCCCATGCCCATGCCCATTCCCCCGATGTTACACCACCTGATACCTACTTGCAGGGAATGTTAAAGGGGAGTGTCTTCAACTGTGAAGATCCACCAAGAACTGTGCCCGAATTACGTGAGCAAATCATGTCTATTTGCAGGAGTCTGCAGCAATATTTGTTCCAGGATATGTTTAAGAATCTGCGTGAACGATATGAACACTGTCTACAGCTAGGAGGTGCAGACTTACAATACGCATACCGTGGTAAATCAACACGCTAATACTGTGTATATGTATATATGAAGTGTGTATGCTAATTTCTTTCAGGAGAAATAAACTCACAGATGACAATAATGTAATTTTGTTACCTTTTCGTTTCAGTACTGTATATTTTGGCCCATATTGTAATAAGATAGGCTTTGAGTTAAATGCTTTTGTTCAATCGTCCGTGCACACAAATTACGATTAGTGTGGAAGCATGTAATGCTACCATAAACAGAGAAGCACCCGCAGGCGGTTCTCTGCATTTAGAGTGTGGTAAGTGGCGGCAGATCGTCCTGATGATCTCATGAAAGTATTAGTACATTTGTTGAGGATGCCTAATACCTACCGCATTTTGAACCCAAAACATATTTATTACCGAATTTATGAGAAACGCTGCTACAGTATCTGATAACATTGAAAACATAGAACAATTAATGTAGGTAAGATTACTGTCCTCGTTATGTGATGATTTTGCTAACGCAAGTCGTTAATCGAGAGTTTCAGAGCATTCTGGCATGTTTTCCGATGGAAAAAATCTGGAGACTAATTTAGCCACGCTTCTTTAATTTTTCAGTTGTATTTTATATCCTCTGATTCGTTATATATGGAACGATATCAGAGGAAAACAAGGTCATTGGTTCTGCAGCCCTCCTGAAATCGAGACGCTGTGACGACGGACAGTGCAGAATGCTAAAATCTCTTGACACTGATCGTGAAGTTGTGTCTGTAGTACTGCCAACCGGAACGAATTATTGCATCTGTGATGTCCTCTGACACATCGTGAAAACAGATGGGAGAACCGCACACACGAATTTCTCATCTTTGTGTGGTCCGCCGCAAGAAAATTCTCACTGTGGTAAAGATATTTAGAAAAGTTGCAGATGAGTGTAGCAATAGCTTTCAGATGTCGGTTTCGTTTCTTGAAACTTGATGTTAAGCTTTGAAAATACAAAATGGACTTTAACTTGGATTGTAATTTTTTGTTACAGATGCGACGAAGGCTATAGTGGAAAACACTGCGACATGAAAGTTCTGAAGATTCCAGGTATGACTTTATTTTTAATTTTATGCTGATAATGGGGCACCCATCAACTGTTACTGAATTAGCATCTTGGCCATAAGACCCTATTACAGGAACTATTTTTAATTTAAGCTGCATGATTTGCTGCCGGACGCATTTCACCGAGTTAGTGATCAATGATCACAAATTGAAATAAAGGTTATGAATGTTTATGAAACAAAATGTTAGTGCTATGAATTGTTTATGAAACAAAATTATAACTTTTTCTGCTATCTGCAGAGATGTAAGTACGTGTATTTTTTTTAGTCATGAAGCACTAATCCTGGTGTTGGGGTTGCCGGTGTTGCACCTGGTGTTGCACTTACTGGTGTTGCACTTCCTGGTGTTGCACTTTCTGCCGTTGTCGCTGTTTCGCCGGAACTATTTTGCCGACAGGACAATCCGTTAGCAGCCGATTCGACATAGGCTATTTCGTTATCAACAGAAATAAAATACGTAATAAATATTGCTTACTAGCGGAAGCATCCGAAGTTAGATTAAGAGTAATTTATTTAACAACACAAGAGAATCATACCCGCAGTCATACATTTTTCACTCTGATGCGATATGGAACCCACATATAAAATGTTGATTAAAAAAAATAAACTAAATCTCTTTCATTATATCCAGTAACAACGGCACGCAGTTTTTAAAAATTTTTCGTCCTTCTAATCAAATGGTTGTAAAAGCTCAAGTTTCATCCAACATTTCACCTATATTCAGATTTAGCGATTTAATGTTGCAAAAAATGGATCACAACTGATTAGAAATCAGTTACGCGAACAAACACACAAACAGATATTCTTCTTTATATATAGATTTTGTAAAACTTACAAATTTTTTATTAACAAACACTACGATATGAATGCCAGCAGTAGCAACACTTTTCGAAATAAAGCATTTTTATCTCCAACGCGCGAGACTGTTGCTACTCGGAAAAATGAGTGTTTTCAGAGTTTTTAATTAATATGTCGGCTGCTTAAAACCGTACGAAGATAAAAAAAAGTCGAAATGGCTTCCCACGAGCTTTTGGTATCGTGAAAAATATATTTAATGTTTGGCAATGCTATTTTTATTTCATATTTTTTAAAACTTAGACATTTTTTATTAACAGACTACAACGATTTGAAAGCGAGGAGTGGCAACACTTCTCGAAATAAAGCAGATTTTTATCTCCAGCGTGCGAGACTATTGCCACTCAGAAATATGTCGACGAAAATTAGCGTTTTCAGAGTTTTTAATTATTATCTCTGATTTTAGCTACAATTTTGGAACTAATTTCTCCTCGAACTTTTCCAGGACCCAGAAAAGAATTGTGGAAAGGAAAGTTTCGTGACGACAGTTGTAGTAGTGACTGAGTTAATCGCGAACAAACAAACAAACGCACAAACAGACATTCTTCTTTACATAGAGAGATATTCTACACTACTAAAATCTGTGATAGCAAAAATAAATAACAAAATTGTCCTTAAATTGCAAAGATTGAAGTTCCATATATTTTGGAACGTTTCGATTTTTTATTTCTTGCTCTCCCAGTTACCAATTCACTGCTTAGAAACTGTGACGCACACAGGCCTTCATAAAAAAAATAATAAACAATAAAAAAAATTATCTGATGCATCGAATATATCCTATATATGGGCTTCTTCCTACCAAAGTGAGAGATATTCTTTTCGCAAATGTTCAGTACTGTTAAAATTAAATGAATATCATTCCTCTCACCTGAAGAACAATTTTCAGTTTTCGAACGTCATAAAAAAAAAAACTGAATTTTATTCAGTAAAGGATTTCGAATTTTAGTATTTCTTCAGAAAATTTTAAAACAATATTCTATTAATATTTAATTTAATAATATTTAATTTTAAACCAATATCTCCAAACGTTAATTTTAAAACAGTATTCTAAAATGAAATTTTCTAACTTAAGTTATCCTTAAGAACGTAACATGAATATCCATTTTTCAATGAAATTTATGTACATTTATCCAAAATTATAATTAATAATTTTATATCGTGCAATTGTGAGATAATGAATGTTTTTTTAACTATTCTAATTCAATCAATTAAGAAAAATTAATCATTTTACTAATTATCAGCAAGTGTAAAAGTGTTTTATACTGACCCCCCCAAAAAAAAACAATTCATTTAAAGCTACATAAGTAATTATACTAGTAAGAAAATTATTATTTTTTTCCCAATAAGATTATGGGAAATTGTTTTGTCATTGACTAGGAGACCTGTATAAACTTTCTGTACGCTGTATTAGAATATTAATTAGTGGCACCTCGGGAAATTATTGTATTGAAAAAATTATTACTTTCTTGTTAGCCCTAGCCTCGAAAGAGATATTAGTACCGAAAGAGTTTTTTGCACCGAAACTCTTAAATGCGTTGTATCCCTTTTCAAATTGTTGCCAGTGAATATTATCGCCTTGTATTATATTTAAAGAAATTAAATAATGAGGAATCTACATGAATGTATGTGTATTTCTCGCACTGCGAAAAAACAACGGTAGCTAGAACCATCAAATTTTGAATAACATAGTCCTCTACCGGAACATAGGCACCTGCCAGCCCGAATTTTGAATTTCGAATTTGTTTAATTATCTAATTCGAATTTTGCAAAACGTTAACAAATTTTTAATTAACAAACTGAACGATTTCAAAGCGAGCAGTGGCAACACTGTACGAAATAATTTTTTTTTTCCCAGCGCTCGATATTGTCTATCGGAAACTCTTAAGATATGCTTTTTTACATACTTTGTTACTTTACTGTTGAATCTAATTTTATGTGGCTCAAACGTGCTATTTAATAAATAAAATAAACACACAAAACTTTAACAAACGTATACTGCTATGCTGCTGTTAAAATTTTATAATTTTACTGTTGATTACGTAGGTGTGAAGAAAAATTCTGCTTAGTAGTAGATCTAAAACAAATGATTAGTACGAGTGAATTTAACAACAGCCTGGTAGACTGCGAGCTCAGCGAGAGGTGTAAAACCTTAACAAACTCTTTTGGGTACTGTTAAAATCTGAATCCTTTCAATTTTTTTTTATAATTTTTTAAATGACTAATGTATGTAAAGTCCTTTCTTCGTTGTTCACAGGGACGTTATAAAAACTTCTATACGTTCTGCAAAAATTTTGATTAGTGTCACCTCGGAAAATTGCGATAGTATAAGCGATATATTGCGATTAAATTTTTAACTCGATTATGGGAAATAATTCCTAATTAACTATGGGTTTAATAACAACATTTATGTATGATTGCTGGAACTTTTAACCTGTGACACCTCGAATAACTTAAGGGAGATTGACAGTTACTAATTGACAGTTTCCGTTTGACTCATTCAGTAACGGGAGATAACTTTTTATTGACTAGGAAATGGTATAAAAATATATGCTCTTTCTTTTCCTAAAATGTGTAACATTAAAATAAACTGTCATAATCTGAAGGTATACCTAATTTAAATCATTTCCTAAACTACCATAATCTGAAGGTATACCTAATTTGATTCATTCCTAAACTATCACAATCTGAAGGTACACCTAATTTTCTGAATTCGATTCATTTCCTAAACTTTCATAATCTGTAGGTATATCTGATTTGATTCATTTCCTAAACTATCGCAGTCTGAAGGTATACCTAATTTGATTCCTTTCCTAAACTATCATAATCTGAATGTATGCCTAATTTGATTCACATTTTAAACTATCATAATCTGAAGGTATACCTAATATGATTCATTTCCTAAACTATCACAATCCGAAGGTAAACCTGATTTGATTCATTTCCTAAACTATCATAATCTGAAGGTATACCTTTATTTTCTAAACTAGAATCACAAAATTACGACCAATCGTTCAAAAAGGTATTTAGAGGTGGAAGCAATTTGATACATCTACTTCATATATCCAATAAGTTACTAATTCTCTAGCAAATAACTGCTATTCGGGACATAAGATATATCAAATATTTTAATGCTGATATTAACATATTTCATTCTCTTACAGGTAATTCTGCCTTGATTGTGGGTTTTTCAATTTCAACGATGATTTTAGGAGCTTTGCTGTTCGCTTTGAGTTGCATACTGTGGAGATATTTGAAGTAAGCTTTATTTTAATCAATTAGTAGCACACTAAAGTCTTTAATGTATAGTACTTTTGCTGTTGACGACACTATCCAAAATCAGGACTGAAGAGGCACACGCCTCAAATAAATCATAAAAGCGAGGCAACATATTGTGTTAGGCCTAGATTTTTAACATAGAAACTCGATCGATTTCGACGGCGAACAAAGAACTTCTTCATCAGGAGCAAAGAAATCTGCAAATGAAAAACCAACTTACGAACATATTTATACCCTACTCTCTCGCCTCTTTCGACGTCCTTGGGGTATAAATGTTTTTTGAAGAAAAAAGTTGTAAATCTTCAGAAAAAGTGTTATATCTATGCGAATAATAAATTTCATGATCACACTTAGTAAATATGCACACTAAAACATTTAATTTCTCCCGATGATGGTGATGGTGTCGTGTCTATGACAAAGTGCAATTATATAGCTCCGAAGCTGTCAAAGACAGCTTTTGCAACCTCGGCAGCTCTATCAGTATAAAGTAGGTCCACTGGGTCTTCAATGCCGATGTTAAACAGTGTGGCTTGGATTGCTGGGCAGCTGAAGATGTGATGGCGAGACAGTGGGATGTCATCTGGGCAATGAGGACAAATGTTGGTGGAACTACGCTGTCCGTCTGCAGAAATCCTCATCCCTTTTAAGTGATTTGTCCTAAGCCTGGTTATGATAGTCGATATGGCTCTGTCACAGTACAATTCCGGGATGGAGTTTCCTTTAACTTGACCGATTAGTCTTTGGCTGGCAACTGCATCGGCATCAATGAGGGTTAGGCAGTTGGATGGCTGACTCGAATCACGGGATGCCTTTGCAAGCTCATCGGCCTTCTCATTACCAGAAATATTTACATGAGCCGGTATCCATTGTAAGATGCAGGATCTTTGGGTAGCAATGATTTTGTTTGTGAGCTCAATGATCTGATGACTGAGTTGACATTTATCTTCTGGATCGCTTGCAATGCTGATCTGCAGTCAGAGAAGATGATGATGCCCTTGGAACTCTGGTCTTCTTTAGAGAGATAAATCTCCACAGCACGTTTGATGGCGACGAGCTCGCATGTATAGTTGGAGGCGATTTTCCCAACAGGAATACTGTGGCATTTCTGCACTCCGTCTGGTCCGATGAAAAAGACTCCCGGTCCTCCTCTGTTCAGATTGGAGTCGGAAGAGCCGTCTGTGTAGGCGATCGTCAGATCTTAAGGTCGTGAGTTCCTCAATGGTATTGTCACCCTTTTCTTTGATTATTGCAGTGGGATCTTTCTTGGTACAAGGTTGTAAGAGATTTAAATAAATTTTTGTTTGGGGAGAGGGCATAGAATGTTGTAAGGCTCTTTGGAAATTTTGAGATTTCTCCCGATGCTTTTAGGAAATAAAATTTCTTAAAAGAACAAATAATCATATTATATATTAGCGTAGAAAAAAGTATTCTACCATTACTCTGTATCGATTCTTTGTTCTCTTTTTTAGCACTATAGACACAGAAAGAACACAGACAGAGAAAAAAATGTAACAACAAATGTTTGATCATTGAACAAAATGTACAAGTGTACAGCACGTTGAATAAAGCGTTGTCGTGTGTTCCAAAGACAAATATTTTTCACATTCAGTGCAGCGCGCTTTCGTTTTTATGTGCTTTTTTGCTGGCAAACACTCCTTCTTTTTCTCCTCTCTTTTTTATTGTTTGCCCTATTTTTTTTCCACTAAAGCAATTTATGTCACACTCGCTCTCATTTTTACAATCTATATCAACTTCTGAGACTCAATATCATGTCAAATAAAAATTCATGATCACTTTCCATCCTCATTTCTTTAATGTATTCTTCGCCAGTTGATGCGTCTAATAACGTCTGCAACATTTCTTCCTTGTAAGATAAATAACATGACACTGCAGAGGCATTAAGTTATTTCGAAGCAATGCCCTCTCTGGGAATCGAACCGCGGACCGCTCGAATACGCACCGAGCGTGCTGACCGCTACACTAAGAAGGCATGGTAAAAAGGCGGCAAAAATACCTTATAGCACGATTGCCGCTTTCTATGCTGTCGCAAAGCAACTATGTGTAATAATAATACGAATAGGCGCGCTGGGTCTAAAGAGCACGATCCGATCAACATCAAGATTCCGAATGAAAAACCCCAGCAAAAAATCTTGAGAAATATAAAGTGGTCGACCTCAGACACGATTACACTGGACTTCAGCCACTTGCGTGAAATATGCGTGCTTTGGGAAAGGGTTGTTTAATCGAATGGGTCCACTGGAGCCAGTGAGGGCGCTGGCATGTTAAGGACCGATTTCTTAGGGAAGCATGCAATAGTTTCCCCAACGACTTGTACATGTGTTTCTGTAACAGCAGAATGGTTTCGACCAAGAGTTTAGACTTTCTCATCCGCGATATTACTTGTTCATTTGAATGTCTTATGCAATGTTTTTATTATATTCGGCTGCGGTCATTAGTGACATGGTATTTGCATTGAAAGCTTCTTGTTGTTGCTTTGAAAGCTTCTTCTTGTTGTAAATCTCCTCCTGAGTCGGTGGAATTCAAATACAAGGAAAGTCCTTCCCCCCCCCCAACGAATTCATCATTTTTAATAAAATCCTTCCGAATCTGCTGTTCAGCTTTCTGCTACTCATCCAGTCACAGATAACACTCCTTCAAGTCAAAACATCAATTAGCGCCCACCAGCGGCCGAGCGGTGAAGTCGCTGAACACTGGTAGTTCGGTCCGAGGTTCGAATCCTGCAAACGGGCTGACTTCACGGGCGTTTTCGTGGTTTTCCCCATGTGTAACGTGTATACGAGCCAGTTTCCCTTAGAAAGTCCTCCACGAAGCCATCCTTTCCCTTAGGCAGATAGCCCTAGTGTGCTTTGCCATCATCACACACACACACACACACCCACACACAAAACATCAATCTCTTCTGAAATCATATGCGTACATCAAAACTCGGAAAAATGGTTGAAGATATTTACAGCGACATGTGGCGGAAATTTTTTTTAACTGAAACATTTGTGCCATCTGGAAGGAAACATTTGTGCCATGTCACGTGAGTTTTTCTGCAAGGATTTTTTTTTTTTTTTTTTTTCTTTCCCTAACCGTTTTCCTCTTATACATTTTTGAAAACCGTCAGTCTGTTTTAGGATACCCAATATCTTCATAAAATCATTTTTAGGAAGAAATAGTACGTTCTAGAGCTGAACTATATCAACCTCGAGTTACAACTCCATGTCAAAGGAGTGGCTCACTGCGACATCTTAACAAGTCTAGCCTAGTCTAGGCACTCCTTTGAGCCTTTGAGACTTATCCGTTGGTAAGTATCACAATGGCTTCAGCTATGAGTATGTGGATGATTCCATTTGCAATTAGGAACAATTCAGGCGATGAAAATGGATAATATTATCCATTAAATAATGATAAGACAGCACTTTATTCTTATACGTTAAGTTGATTAGAAAACTAAGATGTTGTATTCTAGTCATTAGGTTTTTTATGAAGCAGAAAATGTGAAAAATGTGCAAACCTGGACCTCTCGAATGCGCGCCGAATGTGCCACCATTACATCACGAAGGCATGCTGGAAGCGGGGAAAAAATATCTTATAGTATGAAAATTGTTAAAAAATAATTTATTAACTTTTTATTTCGTCAAAGATAGACCTTTTTATTTTAACTCTTTCAGGGCGAAGTTGCCCGAAACGGCCTACTATTTAGACATGGGCAGGTGTAGGTTGACCGAACGCCTTGCATCCCTATTCTACCTTTTACTTCTCCCCCCATCACAGTTACTCCATGGCTCACTGGTTTTCGGAGTTGTTAAATGGCATGCCACTCATGCTTTTGAAGCCACTAAAAGTAGCTCTGTTATTTGAATGCACCTTCCCTCGCCTTTGTTTAGCATCAACATTTAACTATTGATGCTGGCAGTTGAAATCATGTCCTAAGGACATGATGGATAAAACCGTACAAAGATCCCCAATAGAGAAGTAATCGCTCCACTTTAGTATGTTACATTTAATGCTGTAGCATTCTTATTGGCATATGGGAAGGAAATCCATTGCAACAAAAATTCATATGTAAGTGCGTTTCAGATGTTTGCGAAAAACAGATTTTGACATCTACCGATGCGAAAGAGTTAATAGAAACATCAAAATTTAGCCTATTTTTTTGTTGCGGAGGGACTGCTCTCCTCGTACGCTGAACTTAAAAGTCAAACGAGTAACTCAGAAATGAAGAGGCCACGTCTTAGTGAAACGTTAAATATATTAAACATAACATTAATAACGAATTACAAAATTAGTTTTAACATTGAGTACATATATTTGTCCACCGACTATTCAAAGCAGTGTCTCTTTTTCTCCCTAAACGCATTCTGGTGAGGAATGCGGAAAGAAGTTAAAGATCAAAATCATAATAACTGGTTAGTTTATAAAGTATTTCTACCGCCTTCCAAGCGTGTCTTCGTGGTGTAGTGACTCTGAAAGCTGGGCCGGTATTCCAGAGGTTCGTTGTTCGATTCCCGGCGAAGACGGTTGCTAATTTTTCATCTTGCCTGGTTCCAAAAAATACCTAATGTCTCTACAAGTTTAACCCAAGAACCTCGCAGCTCTTTGAGCTATAAAACCTAAACGTTATAATAATAACATGTAAATAAAACGTAAACAAATACCACTCTATCATGATTAGATGCAGTACGCTTAAATTGTATTCCCGATGCTCTCCTTGAGTCACGAGGTACGTGCTGCATCTGGACAGAAGGCGAAGGACAAAACCTCAATATCTATGTTTCGGGTTAAACTGCCGGTGTCCAAGTCTACTATCGCCTTTATCAACTGCGAATAATATATTTTAAAAGAATTTAAGTCCTCCATCCATGCATCAGGCTTTTCCCGATTAACTGTGTGTTGCAATTTCCTGTTAACGGACAATAACTCACGTCCACACAATCCTCACAATGTGTTCCCCGACTAATTTGTACACATTT